GCCCCGCGCGCCGGGCCGCTCAGCGCCATCTTTGAGCCTGGCAGCGGGGCCGTGCTCCCGCGCTCCGCTCAGCCGAGCAGCATCCGTGCCCTTCGTGGGAGCAGGTCGTCTAAAACCCGTCAAGCTCGTTGGACCGGCCCCCTCCCCGCCCCCAATCGTCCCTCTCTCGGCCCCAAACCGCGAAAGGTGCGCTGCGTCCAATTGCACATGGCGCTGCGGGCCTCACATCCGGGTCTCGCGTTCCCAGAGGGCCCGGGTGGGAGGAGCCCTGGGGGTCACGCCCGAGGGCGCCTGCGCGAGTGGGCGGGGCCGTCTCCATGGCAACCGCGGCGGCCCGGGGCCGCTCCGGGCCGCAGACAGCGCGAGCTGAGGCGATGGCGACCGCGGCGGCTGAGAGCTGCGAGGGGCCGGGCCGGCCCGGGCCGCTGCAGGACCAGACGGCGGGCGTGGTGTCGGTGCCCTCCCAGTGGAGGGGCGCCCAGGGCGTCCGCGGGGAGACGGTGAGGGCGCGAGCCTGGCGGGGTGGGGTGCGGCGCCGGCGGGAGGGCCGGGGGCGCGGTCCTTCCGTGCTGCTGTCCCACCGGTTCGGTTTTTTTATTTTTTTTATTTTTGTCGTTCGAGCTGGACCCGAACCCTTGGCATCCGTTACTCGTCTTCGACGACCACACAAAGGTTGCTGTTGTTTGGCCTTAAACCTTCCAGGACCGTCTGCCGTGGTGGTGGAACTTGGCGCGAACTGTCGTGTTTAGGCCTTTCAAACGACTTGAAATAGAATATGGACCTCTGAACGGCTCCCTGAACCCATTTTTCAGGTGTCGATTAGGCAAAAGCACGCGGCCAGGTGCGCCCCGCGGCGGGCGGGCCCGCTGGGCGCCGGGCTCTCTCCCCGGCGAGGGCGTGCCGCCCGGGGGCGCGCTCCGTGGGCGCCGTGTTGGCGCGGGCGCTGCGGGGCAGAGCCAGGCGCTCACCTGGGCGGCCGCGGGGTCTGCCACCAAGTACCTGTGCAATAGCACTAAGTACGTTAGAAGGTGAACGCACTGCGGATCCAAGAAAACGATGAGCGCGCGCGAGGTCTGCTGAGCTGGGGTCTGGGCGGTGGGCTTGTAGGATGGCCAAAGGTGGAGCTCACGGAGCGCGATCTTTGCAGACCTGCGCGGGAGCATGGTGGGCCAAGCGGACACCTGGGATGGAATCCGTGGGTCAGGCCGCGCCAGTGGCCAGCGCAACGCGGCTGGGGCACGTTTGCTGCTTTTGAAGGGGCAAGAGTGACCCCAGATGAGGTCGGAGGAGGTCTCATTTGGCTTGTCCTCGATTGGGAAATGAACGGTGCAGGACACCTCACCTTGTTACGGAAGACGGAATCGAGGCGTCGCTTGCCACGTGGACGGTGGAACCCACAGAAAGCACCCACGTGAAGTCTGGCGAGGCCCGCTTTCGTCAGTCAGGCTAAATGGCCAGGTCGCTGGCCAGAATTTGCTCTGGCCTCAAAGCATTGGTCCTCACTAGTCCATTCTGCATCAAACAGTTCCCATTCGAAGCTGGGGAACCCTGGTGCTCTCTGAGAAGTCGGCGGTTCGACCCCACGAGCTGCACCTGGGGGAAAAGCTGGGGCTGGTTACCGAGTTGCGGTGAGTTGGAATCAACTCAGTGCCCTTGGACAGTGGCGATGGCTTTGCTTTTAGTTGCTCAAAAGCCAAGGCAGTGGGTGGTTAGGTTAAGTCTGCCCATCCTTAGGGCAGGTCAGTGAATAATTCACATAAAGAATACGCAAAAATAGTTCCTGCCGGCTGAAGATCATAATTTTTAGAAGGACTTGGGGAACTGCTGGTCTCCGTCTAGCGCTTGTTTGTTTGTTTTCTGTTGCTGTTGCCGGCAATGAGATTGAGGCTTCCTAGAATCTTTGTTTTTGTAAATAGGTAGGCGCACCTCGTTTTATCATGCTTCGCTACTTTTTTTTTTTTTTAACCAAATGAGGATCTGTGGCAACCCTGTGGCTGAGCAAGTCTCTCGGTGCCATTTTCCCACCAACGTGTGCCCCCATTCGGCATTCTCACACTATTTCAGGCCGTTTTCATATGGCACACTTACTAGATTGCAGCATAAACATAACCTTGATAGGCACTCCCAAATCCACTGCCATCAAATAGACACCGACTCGTAGCCACCCTACAGGACCGGAGAGAACCACCCCTGTGGGGTTCCCAGACTGTATGCGAGTAGAAAGCCCCGTTTTCCTCCCACTTAATATGTACGTGGAAGCTAAAAAGGCAGGCTGTTCACTTGATTTCGAGGGTCTGGAGCCGACCCCCAGCACTACGAGGAGACCTCTGAAAGTGGAGGCTTGCCAGGAGGGCCGGGTTCTTCCGCGTCTCAGAGTTTTCTGCCACAGCCCCCTTTTCTATGGCTTGTCCCGTGGGAAGTCATTGTCGTTGTGCGTCTCCAACAAGTGTCTGCCTCGTCCAGATGATAGCTTTCGTAGGCTTTCACTCCAGGGATCTTCAGACCTGAGGCTAACTAACCCCTGGGTTCTGAAAGAAGGTTCCCTTGAATCCGGCCCCTCCAGTCCTGCGGATGGACGGAGGACCAGGTTCCTGGATAAGTTTGAAGAACACCACAGGAGCCTGATAAAAGCGGTAATTTGCCTTTCCCAAATGAACTTTATTTTATTCATTTTTTAAATTAAAATTTAAAAAATAAAAGTAATTTACGTCCAACATTTAGGGAAATAAACAGGGTAAGCATAACAGTGCAAATGAAAATCACCCTCAATCTCATTTATTCACTGTTTTGTATCTGTCCAATTGGTCTTGATTTTTTTCAGCTTTTCAAATAAATATTTGTATTGCCACGTGCTCATTTCCCCCCCACTAGATCCCCTTACTATATTGAAAAAAACAAAAAGGGCATCACACTATGCATAACACGATATACCTAAACCCAAACTCATTGCCGTTGAGTCAGTTCTCATAGTGATCTCATGGCATAGGGCAGAAATAACTGCCCTGTGCATTTCCGAACCTGTAGCTCTACAGGAATGGAAAGCCTCATGTTTCTGCCGTGGAATGCCTGGTGGTTTTGAACTGCTGACCTAAGTTTTCTCGTCATTTCCTGATTAGTTTACAAAGGGACAAGGGGTCGAGAGACTTGAGCAGCGGTGGCATAGTAGGCTGTTCACTGAGGTGCTAACCATAACACCAGCAGTTCGAACTTACCATCTGCTCTGCAGGAGAAAGATGAGGCTGATTATTCCTGTAAAGACTTAGAGTCTCGGACGCCCAAAAGGGCAGTTCTTGTCATGAGTCAGGATCAACTTGAAGGCAGTGGGTTTTTTTTTTTTTTTAGTTTGGGTTTTTGATGAGTTTTCTTGCTGTGGATCTGGCCTTGAGCCAGCCGTCAAGGACTCTTATGTAAAGTGGGTCTTCTAATAACTTAATGCCGGAGTCACCGAGATTACTGATTTAAAAACAGCTGTTGGAAAGCCAAGGGCTTCTGGGCCCAGCTCCCTAAGATACGGTTCCTGATCCTCCCCTCCCCCTGCCCACCCACCTCTCACCTTAGGCTGACAGGGAATGCTCAGGAGAGTTGAAAAAGGAGGCTCCCTGGGTGCCACCTCCAGGGATTCTGCCATCATTGATGTGTGGTCAGACCCTCAGAGCCAGCGTTGGCTTGCTGACTGTCAAGGCGGTGGGTTCAAACCTCGGAGAAAGCTGAGGCTGCCCCAAAGAGAGTTGGTCTCGGAAGTCCTATGGGCAATTCTACTCTGCCCTTCAGGGTCCCTGTAGGGTGACTGGCTTCACAGCGGTGGGTGGTGGGCTGGCCCTGGAATCTGGCTCACAGGTGACTCAGGAGAAGCCAAGTTCGGGATTACTCCCTTGATACTTCCGTGTCCAGCAGAGTGGCTTCTAGAGCAGGAATTCAGGGTGTGTTCTTGACATTCAGGGCCGTTGCCCCAGGACTGTTAGCTCCCTGAGGGCAGGCAGGGCTCTGGAAGTACTGAATTGAAGTCGTTTGTCGCCCTCTCCTCCCACATGCTTCTACTTTGAATCAAGCCTGGGCACTGGACTCCCAAGGGGAGGCTGTACCTTCAGGGTTCCCGACCGCTGGCACCTTCCTGGCCGCAGCGGGTTCTGCAGGATAGGGCACCCCCTGCTGGAGCCTCTGTGTCTTTACCCCAGGTCTGGCCTTTTAGCGCTTTCCCGCCCGGACTTTCAGCATGGCGCTGAGAGATTGTGCTAGCCAAGCGTCCTTCCTTTGTCGTCCTTCCTTTGTCTTGAGGCGCAGGGGCAGGAATGAAAAGACACCAGACCCGCTGGCAGGAGTCACAGCACCAAGGTGGCTGTGGGGTAGCTCCTGCTTCACTGGGTTGCCTTTCAGCTCCAGGCTGTCCGTGGAGCCGCTGGGTGCTGCCCTCCTGTGCTCAGGAGGCAAGTTCAAGTGTACAGCAGCAGGCGGTCCCTTGCTGCAGTGGCACCTCACACTCAGGGAGAATCCACAAAACCCAGTCAGCTCTGCCTGGCCCCGGACAGGACATGCCCATCCCACTGGCTGCTCAAAATTCGCACGCTGGCTCCGTGTGGGCATCCTCGCTCAGGTGTTCTGTGTTGCTAAATTGCTGCTCTGCTGGGTCGGATGGCGGGCTGGGCGGAGGGGCCGTGAGTCATCGTCTTCATCAGATGTGGACAGGACTTGGAAGGGAAGGGGGTGAAGGAGACCTGAAGATAAAGGGAGGGTCCTGGGAAGGAGGACCCAGGGGGCCTGAGTGGAAGGAGTCAGGTAATGGTCCACCCCACACGGTCTCGAGGTGTCCCTTGGGTGGGCTCGCCTGCCACAGCATTTCTCAGCCCGGCCCCACTCCGGGTGGAATTGTGTCCCACAGAGCAGGGCTGACAGGTGCTCAAGGGGGGCAGTCACAAGGTGGGGTGGTGGTGTGAGTATTGCATATAGCGTGGTAGGCATGGGGCTGAGAGGCCTCATTAGAGATGGGGGGCCCTGGGCCTGAAACCCGAAGCAAAGCCCATGCGGTTACGTATATGTGGAGTGGATTCAAACTGCCAGCTCTGTCACGGCCAGTAGTCAAGTGCGAAGGAACCCTGGTGGCGTAGCGCTGTGAGCAGAAGATTGGTGGTTTGAATTAAGCTGAGCCTCAGTGGAGAGAGGAGGCAGTTGGCTCATGCAAAGATCTACAGCCTGGCCCTGTGGGCCAGTTCTGCCCTGGCCTATAGGGTCCCTGTGAGTTAGACTCACCTGTCAGCAACGGGGGTTAGTGGAGCCCAAACTGTACCACCCACTACTTCCTCTCGAGGCTGAGAGAGCATTCAAATGAGGGACAGGCCTCCATCCTGAGCGCTCACACCTGCAGCATCACCTGGAGCTTCTTAGCTGAGCAAGCTCAGGTCCCACTCAGACCTGCTGGGTCAGCCCTTGTGTGGTGGAGATGGGGCAGCATTGGTGTTTTACGCCCTCCAGGCGAGGCCAAGGCCCTGTTTTACTGTGGAAGCAG